CTGCGGGAGGAGAAATGGGAACGAGCCTCAGCCCTGCCCGGCCCCACTTTGCCCCCAGCCCACGCCAGGGAGGGATGCGGGGACCCATCCAGGGCCGGGGAGGGGGGATGCGGAGCCCTCCCTCCAGCCTCTCCCCGTTAGGTGGCAGCAGGAAACCGCAGCGTTGCTTTTTCAGACCGAAATTACTCCATAATTCGATGATTCTGGCTAGGCGGGAGGAAAAGCTGCCGGTTCCACGCGAGGTCGCTCCATCCCGCTGACCATTCGGTGACCCCCTGCCCACCCTGACCCATCCCCTCCCAAAGCCCTCCGGTCACACCCCCGGGCCGTGGAGGGGACACGAGTGGGGCTGATCGGTTCCTTCTCCCTCCCTTTGACCGCTTTGGCCCCATTCCCCGTCCGTCACCTCCGGCATCGCCTCCCGGTCCCCCGTTCCCTTCCCCCGCCTCTGGGTCACCCCGGGCCGGTGCCAGCAGCTGAATCACGCCGGTGACCGGCACCTGAGTCACCGGGAGCGGGGAAGTCCTCCCCCGGCCCCCGGTGCTTTTCCAAGCGGAGCTGAGCAAACGGGAAAGTGTCAAGGAATTTGGGTGGGAAAAGCGTTTTCTTGGAGCCCCTGGGAGCTGGCCAGGGAGTGGGGGGCTCCTTCCCTATCACACTGCGACATTCCAGGGCATGGAGGAGCTAAAAAAGGCTGGGAAAAGCGGGACAAACATCCCTGTCCTTGCACATCCCCCCTCTGCCATCCCCCCACCCCTCCTCGGGTGCTGCCGGCGGTCACCAACCACCTCCCTCGCTGCCCTGGGCAGATCTGATGGGCAATAAAATACCTTGATTAAAAAAATACCAGGCGGGCAGACCCCACTGCGAGCCCGCCAGAGAGCCCTCGATTAATGAGCCCTCGATTAATGAGCCCTCGATTAATGACCCCTCGCATTCCCCGTTAATGATTTACAGCGGCTCCTCCCCGCCTGTCCCCTCCCTCCCTCCGTCCTCCCCCACCACGGGCACCCCCAGGACAGGGTTATGGCACAGGGGGATGGCACAGGGGGGATGGCACAGGGGGATGGGACAGGGGGATGGCACGGGGGGATGGCACGGGGGGATGGCACAGGGGGGATGGCACAGAGGGATGGCACGGGGGGATGGCACGGGGGGATGGCACAGAGGGATGGCACGGGGGGATGGCACAGGGGATGGCACAGGGGGGGTGGCACAGGGGGGGATGGCACGGGGAGATGGCACAGGGGGATGGCACGGGGGGATGGCACAGGGGGATGGTGCTCATGTACGGGAGCGTGGGGGGAGCCGGGAGCGGGGCCAGGGCTGCCCCCCGCAGCAGCCCCAGGCTTTGTGCTCCCGGCAGGCAGCCCCGAGGAGGTTTCATGTTACTGGGAAACTGGGCTGGCGGGATGTTCCCGGGGCAGCCCCGCAGACAAAAGGCCATTGTGCAGCCGCGCAGCGATGGCTGCAGCCCCGGAGCATCCCGCTCCCTGCCAGAGCCAGCGGCCACCCCCGGCCCAGGAGGTGGCACAGCCGCTGTTGGACCCGCCAGGGGCCCGAGCAGCTCCCCAAAACTCATGGGATGCTCCAGCATAGAGTGGCCAAGCCGGAGCACCCCACAAACGACCCCATGCCAGCAGCACCCTCTCCATCCCGCGGGACGGGAGTGGCACTAAAGCAGACCCTGCTGGCACCGAGCAGGGGTGACGGGCAGGGACGTGTCCCCACAGGTCAGGACGTGCAGCTGAGGGGTGGCTGAGCCTGAGCCGCTTTCCAGCCCCACCGGCTGATCCTGCTCGCCCTGCCTCAGCATCAGCAGGGTACAGGGAGTTATTGAGGTGCATTTCCCTGTGCGGGGGCTGTGCTCATTGCACCCCAAAGCACCCCGGAGCACCCCCAAATCCTTCTCCTGCTCCCACCGCCACCAAATTGTCCTCTGAAGCCCCAACTCCGCAGTGCTGTCCCCACCACGCCCCATTAACGGCCGCTCCAGAGGCTCTGCAGGTGACAAACACGCCCGCTCGTAATTAGCCAGGTGGCCCTTCTAATCACCCAACAACCTAAGGTGACTCAGAGGATCGGGTTTCCCCTTTCCCAGGGAAATTAGCAGGAATTAGGCGCCCAAATGCCAGGCGCAGCTTTGCGGAGCTCGGTGGCAGTGCCAGGACGCAGGGCAGGGCAGGATCAGATGTGTGCCACTCAAAGGCCACCCTCTGGTCCCCCATATCCCCCCTGGGTGCTTTTTGGGACACCCAATCAGCGGTTCTGAGGAGCCCAAAGAGCTGGGGGTGATTTTTTTTCAGGGCACTTCCAGAGGTGCAGTTTTCCCAAGCACTGGGCACCCGTTTCACCATCTGCTCTCTTCCCGGGTCTGAAATATTGGCTAAATAAATCGAGATAGGAAATAATTCATCCGTGCACCCCCCATTTGCAGCTCATGCACCCCAGGGCGCTGGTCCTGCAAATCCCGGGCTCAAATCGGCGCTTTAAGCCTGTAAATTATCAGGTGATTTAGGAATTTATCCGCAGAACGGAGCTGCAGGAAAACGCTGCCCTGGTGCGAGCTTAATCTGCTCCAGGGGTGAGAAGGAGGAAGGAGCCATTTAATCAAATTAACAGGCCTGGTTTGGGGTGGGTCCGGGGCTTTTTGGCCACATGGGGCTTCCTCAATGGGGCCATCGGGGAAACAAAGCCGGGAGGGGAAACAAAGGCCACGTCCCTGTCCTTGTCCCTGTCCTGCCGCGGCATGGCCGGGCCAGCCCGGTGAGCTCCGGGACCGGGACATCCCCGCTGACATCCCGGAGGGGCTCCCGGTTCCTCGGGGCCACCGGGACAGCGGCTCAGGCTGCCCCGCCGTGGATAAAAAATCATTTGTTTGCCCGTTTCCAGCCATTTTCAGCTTCTTCTCTGGCTGCAGAACTCAGCCGGGGGATGGGGGAACTTGCCCAGTCCTGCTCCCAAACCCACTCAGCGCCAGCCGTAAATCAGGAACCCAAGTGCAAAAACAAAAGTGAAAATGTTCTTCTCGCACTGCAGCCCCGGGCTCTGCTCCAGCCGCTTTTTTGGGTTTTTTTTTCGCTGTTTTGCCCTCCTTACACGTGGCTGTGTGTCTGTACCTGGCTGCAAGGCCACCTCCCCACCTCTCTCAAATTCTGGTTTGCTTTACAGGCCAAGTGGATGCCCCACGGGTGAATTCGGTGTGGGGAGACCCTGAAAGTGGGAAACTTTGAGGGATGAGAGCAGAGCAGCCCCGGTGGTTTGCAGAACTCGGGCTGCTGCCCTTCACAGTAAATAACGAGAGATATTAATAACAATGAGCCTCTGCCAGAGCACCAACCGAGTTCCTCACTGGGCTCACAATCCTGAGCAGCAGCGTTGGGGTAAAAGACACCCTGACACATCCAAACCACGCAGGGCTGCCTGCAGGTGGGGAAATATTAATTTTAACCCAAAAAAAATGGTCTGCAAACAAGCCCTGGCTGGACACACGGCCCTGGGATGGGGGAGAGCCAGCAGAGCTCGGATCAGGGGGTGCAGGGGGTGCAGGGGGTGTCTGCTCTTCCTGCAGCTGTTTGGGAACAGGAAACCCTCTCACCCCCATCTTTGCTTTCAGTTTTTAATCGTCAGAAAGGGTCACTGCTCCGATTGTGTTTTAGGCAGAGGAATTTGCAGGGGATTTGAAAAAATCCAAATAACAATTAGCAGAAACAAGTGCCCCAAGCCTGGCTGGGTTTGATTTGTTTTTCTTCACCAACAGTCCCTGCTAGAGCAGTTTTGCACAGGCAGATGTTGATACTTTCACATTTCATCTTCTTAAGGGTCTCCTTTTTTTGTTTTTAATATTTTAATAAAAACTTTTCTGAAACTTGAATCCAGCAGCCTGAAGTTCAGATCCTCACTTCAGAGTTCAACCCTTAAGAGTCAAGATGGTCAAAAGCACCCAAATCAGTTTCCATTAGATTTGTTATTGTTTGCACAGGAGTTTGTAGAAACTTCACACAACAGGATGCTGAGCTCTGGATTTCCCGGTATCCCAGCAAGGAAAAGCACCAGAAAACCCCCAAATGCTCAATTTGTGTTGGAAACACTGCCCTGACACAGGGGGGACCTGGGTTTGGGGCACCTCACCCCAGAGCTGATCGCAGCTGACTGCACAAGGACTTCCAAACCAACAGAGGAATTCTGAACAAAGCTCTTTCCTGCAGACTGAGCCCAAAGCCCGGGAGAGCCTCGGGGAGCCCCAAAATTCAGTGTGCACCCAGCAGAACCTGCTCCCACCCACCCCAGCCTCTCCTTTCGGCGGTGGTGCTGCAGTGACACATTAAATGAACACCACAGCACCATCCCGGCCATCCTGGGAGCCCCGGGGAGGGCTTCTGGTACCCCCAGAAGCTTTTTTGGGGTGCTGACCCGGTGAGGAGGCACCAAACAGAAGGAGCATCGTGCTCGTGGCGATTGTCCCCACGGGGGACACCAGAACCCAAAATAGGGAAAGGGGAGAGCCACGAGTGTGATTATCCTGATAGTGTGGGGGGAGAGGGGGTCACCCACAATGGGGTTACCCACAGGGGGGGTCACCCACAGGGGGGTCACCCACAAGGGGGTCACCCACAAGGGGGTCACCACAGTGGGGTCACCACAGGGGGGTCACCCACAATGGGGGTCACCCACAGTGGGGTCACCGCAGTGGGGTCACCGCAGTGGGGTCACCACAATGGGGTCACCCACAGGGGGGTCACCCACAGGGGGGTCACCACAGGGGGGTCACCACAGGGGGGTCACCACAGGGGGGTCACCCACAGTGGGGTCACCCACAGGGGGGTCACCCAGCCGGGAGCGCTCGCACAGGGGGAGGATGGGGGTGCCTCAATCCTCTCCGGCCGCCCCTCCACTCGCCCGGGGGGGGGACCCTGGGCCGGGCAGGGCCGGGCAGGGCCGGGTAGGGCCGGGCAGCCGCCGCCGCAGCTTTGAACGGCCCTATCGCTCCCGGCCGCGCCGCCCCGCACCGCCCCCGCCGTGATGCGGCCCCGGCTCCGCCTCCCCCGCTCCGCCGGCGCTGGGAGCTCCCTTCGCCTGTTTGCCCTTATTTAATTTCGAGTGTGATTTTGCTATTTTTAGCAGCTGGATCCCCTCCAGTAAGGCTTGGAGCTCGCTCCGTTTTTTTTTTTTCCCCCTCTCCCCTCTTTCCCCCCCCCCACCTCAATTTTTATTTTTTAATTCCCCCTCGTTCCCTTGCAAATGATTTTGACCCAGCTTCCTTCCTCCTGGAGCGATTTTTTTTTTTTTTTTCCTCTCGCTCTCTTTATTATTTATATAAATCCGCGGGGCCTGGCGGGGCCGGGGATGCGGGGCTGAGCCGCAGCCTCTCTCTTCTCCTTGCAGATCCGCAGTCGCCGCGGGCGGGGGGTCCCTTCGCTCCGCAACACAGACCCGCCGGGAAAAACAAAAAACCATCCAAAACCGGCCCCAAAAGCCACGGCGAACGGCCGGCTCCGGGATCAAGCTGCCTGTGAGTGCCACCTTCCTCTTCCTTCTGCTGCGGGGGGCCGGGGTTTTGCTTCCCCTCGCCGCATGCGGGGTTTGCGGGGCCGAGCTGGGCTTTATTAGCGCTATTAATTATTGTTAATAGCAGCGTGATGCACCTGGCGGGCCGCGGCGGAACCGGGGGGGGGGTAACGGGTGGGGGTCGCCGTTCCCACCGCTGAGCGAGTTTGCTGCACTTATTGGGCTGCGGGTGATGCAAAGCCCCGGGACAAGCCCGGGACAGCCCCGGGACAGCCCCGGGACAGCACCGTGCAAGGTGCGTGGGGCCACGGGCGTGGGGCGCTGCGAGGCCGAGCGCGGCTCCCGTGGAACGCGCCCACGCGGGTCGGGGCAAAGTTGCGGTGTTGGGGGGGATAAGGTGAACCCCCTCCCCAGCTCGGTGCCCCCGCAGCGCCAACTCCACGAGGGTTTTATTACACCGCCCCCCCACCCCGGGACAGGGGCTTCACAAAGCGCTGATGGTGCCCTTCCTGCCTCTTTTCTTTCTCCTCCACCTCCCTCCTTCCTTTCCTTTATCACTTCCTTTTATTATGCATCCCAGGAAGGAAGGGGGGGACTTTCCTCAATGGCAGCCCCGGGGTGGGTCTGTGCTGAGGAGGAGCCCGCACATCCCTCCCGGCCCAACAGGCTCTTCAACTTCTGCTCCACCATTCCTTCCCCTCCTCCTTCCCCATCCCTCTGCCAGGAGGTGCGGCTGGGATCCTTCTCCCAGCAGCTGCCATCAGGCTGGATTTTCTGGGCGTGAAGAGCTTTTATTTATTATTTTTTTTAATATATATATATATTTTTAAGATCTAAGCCCGCCGCTTCTCCTGGGCCGGTTTGTTTAATCTAAGAGTAGGTGGCAGGAGCGAGGAGGGATTTATGGGGTTATCAGCGCAGAGCAGCGTGAGGCTGGGAAGGCAGGAGCAGGCCCAGAGCATCGCTCCGAGGGGACAGGTTGGTCCTCGTGGCTGCCTCAGCAGAGGGCTGAGCATCCACAGGGATGGAGAAGGGAGGAGGTTTCCTCCCCCCGCCTCAATCGAGAGGCAGATGTGGCCCCTCCACCTCCAAACCGCGCCGAGATGCTCCCCCCGCCCCTGGCGAGTCCCCCACCGATTCCTCCCTGCCTGGAAAGGTTTTTCCTTCAGCTGCTTCCTCTCCTCCATGGCAACCCAGCTGCTCCCTCCCTCCCCGCACGGCTCTGCCGGCTGCGAGCGGGGCCGGGGCTGCTCCCGCCATGTGCCCGCCGGGGTCCCCACGGGCCGGGGGCGCTGCGGGCACCGGGGGCGGCTCTCGGGAACGGGCCTGGCTGGGAAGGTGCTGCCATGGCTCAGGAACATCCCCCAGGTCCAGCATCCTCCTTCCCAAACCCCTCTGCCGGAGCCCCCCGAGCCCCCTCAGAGCTGGAGCCCCGGCAGAGGAGAGGGGGTGGGATGAGGAGAAATTGGGGGGTGGGATGAGGAGGGATTGGGGATGGGGTGAGGAAGGATTGGGGATGGGATGAAGAGGAATTGGGGGGTGGGATGAGGAGGAATTGGGGGGTGGGATGAGGAAAGATTGGGGGGTGGGATGAGGAGGGATTGGGGATGGGATGAGGAGAAATTGGGGGGTGGGATGAGGAGAAATTGGGGATGGGGTGAGGAGAAATTGGGGGGTGGGATGAGGAGGGATTGGGGATGGGATGAGGAGGGATTGGGGATGGGATAAGGAGAAATTGGGGGGTGGGATGAGGAGGGATTGGGGATGCGATGAGGAAGGATTGGGGATGGGGTGAGGAAGGATTGGGGGGTGGGATGAGGAGGAATTGGGGATGGGATGAGGAAGGATTGGGGATGGGATGAGGAAGGATTGGGGATGAGATAAGGAGAAATTGGGGGGTGGGATGAGGAAGGATTGGGGGGTGGGATGAGGAGGAATTGGGGATGGGATGCAGAGGGATGGGGGGGTGGGATGAGGAAGGATTGGGGATGGGATGAGGAGAGATTGGGGAATGGGATGAGGAAGGATTGGGGTGTGGGATGAGGAGGGATTGGGGATGGGATGAGGAAGGATTGGGGATGGGATGAGGAGGGATTGGGGATGGGATGAGGAGGGATTGGGGGTGGGATGAGGAGGGATTGGGGGGTGGGATGAGGAGGGATTGGGGGTGGGATGAGGAGGGATTTGGGGGTGGGAGGTGCACATGCTTTCCCCAGCACCACCAACTTTGGGGGGCAGGGTGGGCAGACCCAGCAGCACCCCCGGCCCACGGAGGGTTCCCTTGGCACCTTGGCATTGCCAGCTGGAGCTGCTGTGGGGTCTGGTCGGCCCTGCAGAGGGGCAGAGCCCAGCAGGGTGGGGGCCATGCTGGGCCCATCTGTTTCCAGCTGCAGGAGGGGGCACGGAGCAGCTCGAGGCTGTGCTGCCTCTGACAGAGATTGACTTAAAAAGAGACAAAACCCCGTCCCAGCCTGACCAGCAGCCGGCCCTTTGCTGGCCTAAATCTAAACCATGCTTCTTTTTTTTCCTAAGAGACTCCTTGAAGGGCTCTGGGATGCTGTGAGTAATATTTTCGGGGTGTTTACACTACAGCATGGTTTCTGTCTCCCAAAAAAAAAAAAAAAAAAAAAAGAAAAAAATGACTCTGAGGGTGGTTTTTGTTGTTGTTGTTCTGCACTCATGAGTCACTTCCAGAGGGGAGCAGGAGCTGACGCCTGTTTTTTGAAAAGGCTCAGAGGTCTGAGTGGCTCCTCGAGGCTGCATGTCCTGCCCACACCCTCCCCAGTGAGGCTCAGTGTCCCGGGGGGCTCAGCACCCTCTGCCCCCTCAGCCCCGCTATCCTCTGCCCCCTCAGCCCCGCCATCCCAGCTGCTCCAGCACCATCAAACTGGGACCAGTTCCTCCAAACTCAGCATTATTACCCCAGAGTTAGGAGGGTGCCTCCATCAGCACACACAGCCTCGGAGCTCCTCTGTTCCTGCTGGAAGCCTCAGATCCCCACCCTGGGCAGGTGTCCCCAGCCTGGCCACGGTCACCCCACCTGTGGGGTCACCGGGGCTGTGGCAGCAATCCTGCTCCTTCCTCGGGCACAGAGCCACCCCCTGCTCTGGAAAAGCAGGTTTTCCCTGTGCCCCTGGGTGGAGAGGGGAAGATGGAGCCTTTTTTTCCTTACTGGAATGGCTCCAAGAGCAAGGCAGAGCTGCCCAGCCCTTGGGGACATGCACAGGGGAGGTGACAACCCGGTGTACTCAGGTCAAGGGTCTGTCCCTACCCGCAGCTAGGCAGGAGCAGGGGTGTGACAGTGCTGAGGTGGGGTGGGGAGCAGGGCTGTGAGACCCTGAGCCCCTCTCCAGGGCCCTGGCACCGCCCTGGGGACACCCAAGGCACCCAGTGCCACCACTCCCCCTGCCCCAGCTCTGGGATTTCAGGGTAAATCTGGAGCCTCTCTCCTCTCCTTGAGGCTCTGCAGGATGGGCTGGCCAAGCTGCTGCCCCCCAAACGCCTGGGGGGACCCCAGGAGGGGCTGCTCCTGCAGGGTGGCTGTGCCATGGGTGGGGGGCACTGCCCTGCAGTGTGTTTTGCTGCCCAGAGCGCACAGGGGACATCTCTGCTGCCCCTGGGTGAGGGACAGCAGGGCTGGCAGGGTGACCCAGAGCCGTGCCTGACTGACCTTCCTCCCTCCCACTCCTCCTCACCCTGCTGGGACAGACGATGAGTGAATCCAGCGCCAAATCCAGCCAGCCCCTGGCCTCCAAAGGGGACAAAGACGTCTCGGAGAAGAGGGGCCGAGGGCGGCCTAGGAAGAAGCCGCAGGTACGTGGGGTCCCCTCTGAGAAACGGGGGGCTTGAGCACCCCTGAGCACCCCCAGGGTGTGGGGCAGCAGGAAATCCCCCCCACATCTCAACCCCAGTCAGCCCTTTGGGCAGCAGCAAAACCTTCCTGGGGGTGTCCAGAGCCCCCCCAAAGCTCCCAACCCTGGCTGGGGGCTCCTGCCCCTCCCCAGGCCCTGCTGAACCTTTGCAGACAGGCTAATTAAAGCCCCATTAGCAAAAGCTGCTCAGAGAGATAAGATGCTGCTGAAACCTTTATAGTACCAAACCCCCCCAGCCCCCCCCGAGGCAGGTGGGGTTTGTGCACGCGGTTTTGCTGCAGAAAAGGTGATTTGTGGCTTCCCCAAGACGCTGCAGCAGCAGCAGGGAGCGGGTCTGGGCTGAGGGGAACATCCAGCTGGGCTGAGTGGGTGATGCTGGGGGTGGAAAAGGTCACGGATGCCACTGAAGGACACGCAGGAGCCTGTGCCTGGCGGCTGATCGCCAATCCCAGTGTGACCAGTGCTCCCAGTACCACATGGCAGCATCCCTGCCCCGGCAGGATCTGCTGGGGACCCCCAGGCTGTGCTGGAAACCACTCTGGGCATGCAAACCCCCCAAAATCTTCCTCCAGCAGGAGCCCAGCGAGGCCCCGACCCCCAAGAGACCCCGTGGACGGCCGAAGGGCAGTAAAAACAAGGCCACCACAAAGGGCAGGGTAGGTACCCGGGGTGGGGCTGCTCCAGGCTCCACAGGCCTGGTTGGAGCTCAGTTATGGACAATTCGGGGCAGATCTGCCTCAGGGTGGGGATGGAGGGGGGAATCTGGCCTGGGGGGGCTCGGGGGGCTGGCAGCACCACCCCAGGATGTGCCACGGGCGTGATGAATCCATGGGGCACCCACCCCCTCCAGCATCCTGGGGACAGCCTGACCAAAATGCCTTTTTTGTTGTCCTGGCTCAGAAAGCTGCAGTCACGCCAGGGAGGAAACCTCGAGGGCGACCCAAAAAATCGGTGAGCGGGTTTTTCCTTTCCCCCATCCACCCTGGCAGGGTGCTGGGCACTTTGGGGGCACTTTGAGTGCGGGGGGTGGGCTCTGAAACCTCTCTAGAGGTGAGGGTTTGAGGAATCCTGGCTGGTCCTGCCCTGGGGACACGCTGGCACACGCCTGCCCACTGCCCACAGCATTCCTTCCTTCCTTCCCTAACTTCCCCTCCTCCATTCCATTTTTCCTCCTTTTCCCCCCTCTGTTGGCAGCTGCCAGGTACCCGGGGCAGTTTCACCTCCCTGTCCCAGATTTTGCTCCTTTTCCCACTGAAATTCTTGTCAGAGCCAAGGGCTTGAGGCCAGCCAGGGCTGCAAACCCCGGGTGCCATCCTGCCGGTGTCACTGTCACCGTGAGGGGGTGTCACCATGCCAGGGGTGTCACCGTGCTGGAGGTGTCACCGTGCCGGGGGTGTCACCATGAGGGGGGTGTCACCATCCCAGGGGTGTCACCGTGCTGGGGACAGTTTGGGGACCCCAGGGAGGGCAGGGGGGGTGGGAGGTGACTGTCCTGTGCCAGTGGGGCCATGCCAGGACACGACATCCCACAGTGTCCCACGATGTCCCACGATGTCCCACGATGTCCCATGGTGTCCCACAGTGTCCTACAATGTCCCACGGTGTCCCACGGTGTCCCATGGTGTCCCACAGTGTCCCACGGTGTCCCACAATGTCCTGTGCTGCCCGCGGGGTCACGGCCACCCACCCACCCACCCATGGAGACACCCACAGCCACAGCTGCCACCAACCCCACCCCGGTGGCCGCTGGGGACCCGGTTCTGGAGGCGTTGGTGGGGCTGTCCTCTCCCCTCCTCATTCCCACCCGGGATTTCACTCCAAGCCGGAGTCAGGGCCGCTCCTGAAGCCAGGACAGGGCCGTGCCTCAGTTTCCCTCGCTGTGGGGGCACACAGTGGGGCTGCTCTCCTTTCCCCCCACCCAGCCACGCTCCCTTGCCTTGCAGCAGCAGGACGAGGAGGAGGTGAACATTTCCCAGGAGTCATCCGAGGAGGAGCAGTGACACCTCCCGAACCGGCGCTACCTCATCGCCCGACCGGCCGGGGGAGAGGGGTGGGGAGAGACCCACTGTGCCGCCCTGGCTTCCTCCTCCTCCTCCTCCCTCCTCCGCTCCCTCCTCACCCTCAGACAACGGCAGCACTGGAAAATGGCCCAACCCGGGCGGCCCCCGCAGCCCCCGCCCGGGGGGGCACTGCCCCAGCTCCCCCTCCCCAGCCCTGGCCTTTGGGGCACCCCTCTGTTAGGGGGGATCACGGCAGAGAGCCGGGCTGGCACCCCCCGTGTGGGCATCTCACCCCGCCAAAGTGGGGCTGCTGCCCCCCCAGCACTGGGCTCTGCAGGGAAGAGATGGGGGGGCAGTGAAGGTGAGACCCCCCCCAAAATGAGTTCGACCTTTGCTCTGGCCTGCTGCTACCCTGGGCAGCCCCATGTCCCCCCAGCCCTGGGTGACTGCACTGTGTGTGGGAGCAGCTCGGGGCCGGTGCCCACGCCCAGGGGTGCCCACACCCAGGGGTGCCCGAGCACAGCTGGCTCCGGGCAGCCCTCTCCTCATAGGTTCTGGTATATATATTTTTTTTTTTTGTTTAGTACATTTTTTTTTTTCCTTTCATTCACAACTACCTCTGGATATTTAAGTTCCACTCTCTGGACTCACAGACGTGCTGCTGCGCTGCCAGGGCACCGTGGGCTCCGTGGTTCCTCTTTTCGGAGTGTTGCTGGGGGCTGTGGGGTATTTTTTTTTTTTCCCCTCCTTTTTTTTGGGCTTCATTTTTCTTTTTTTTTTTTAATTGTTATTTTGAGGTCTAGTTTGCTCTGCTGCTTCAAGGGATCGAGGCTGGCAGGGCAGAGGTGTGGAGGGACCATGGGATGCTCCCCCTTCCCCTCTGCCCCGGCACGACGGCTGCAGCGGGACCGGAGGTCGGTGCCGGGCGGCCCCGGCGGGAGAGAATCGGGGTTTGGTTTGGGTTTTTTTTTGGTTCACTGTTAACGACCTTTTGGGTTCCTATTTGCAGTTACTTGAATAAAACATTTTATGGATGTTTGTGACGCCTCTGTCCCGGGCCCTGATGGGTGGGGCAGGGCTGGTTCTTCCCGGGGCACCTTCTCCACAGGGACATCAGCCATCCACGGGGATGAGCAAACAGGCAAAGCCCTGCTGCCCCCCAAACTCCCACCCAAGGCCGGGAACCCCCAGCCCCACTCAGAGCCTCGGGGCCAAGGCAGAGACACATTTATTCACCCCATCTTCCCCCAGGCATCCCGTGCCAGCAGAGCCTGCTGCTCCCTGCCAGCCCCAGCGGGCCCTCCTGGGCTTTCCAAGGGGCTGCTGGAACAGTTCAAGCAAAAATTAAAATAAAAAAAGGCAAAACCAGGCACTGAGGTAGGAGATGTCCCATCCTGGTCAGTGCTTAGAGGTGGGGGCAGCAGATGTGGCATCGTGGCAGCACCGCGGGCACGTCCTGCCCGTTTTGGGTGATGGAACCAGTGCTGTTGGGTGATGGAACCAGTGCTGCTGCCCCGTCCTCTCTCCCTCTGGTCCCGTCCCGGTGCTCCAGGCAGGGTCAGGCCCTCCAGTCCCTGCGCGGGGGCCAAGGGGGTGAGGAACCCCCCCAGCCCTGCACCACCTGCAACACAAAGGGACACACCTACAGCCCAACCCTCCCAAAAACCTCTGGATTACATCCAAAGCCCAACTCCCACAAGGTCAGACTCAACGTTCTCGGATGTTTTTCCCGACCTTAAAAACTCCACGATTCCCAGAGCTCCCTCGGGACAGGCACCTCATTTGCTGCTTCAATTTTTCATGGGAAAAGCGGATTAAATTCCCAGCCCAGCGACCCACCTGAGCCTCCTCAGCCTCCACCAGCAGCTCCTGCTCCGACTCGGGCGGTTCCTCAGCGGGGTCGTAGCTGTACATGGGCAGCAGGCGGTGCCGCAGCCGCTCGGACCTGCCGGGGGTCACCGGTGAGCGGTGTCGGTGCTGTCCCCGCCGCCCCCCGCCCCCCGCCCCGCTCACCTGCGCTTCTTCTGCACGTACATCACCTGCGGGAAAAGGTGTCAGCGGTGCGGCTCCGCGCCCCCCGGGGCTGCCCCCGGTGTCCCCCCACTCACCGCGGCCAGGAGGGCACCGAGGAGGGTGAGGAGGAGGAAGGGTCCCAGCACGGAGCCCACCAGCGAGTCCCCCGCCGCGCCCGGGGCCGTGGGGGCCGTGGCGTTGCTCATGGCCCAGCGCCGGCTCCTGCCCGCGTGGGGGGACGCGCGTCCGGCCCCACGGAGCGGAGCTCTGCAAGGCACGGGTGGCCTTGGTGGTGATCCCCAGCCCGGGAATGAGCCCCACCCCGGGAATGATCCCCATCCCGGGAATGAGCCCCAGCCCGGGAATGATCCCCATCCCGGGAATGATCCCCAGCCCGGGAATGAGCCCCATCCCGGGAATTCATCACCAGGGAATGACCCCCATCCCGGGAATGAGCCCCATCCCGGGAATTCGCCGCCCAGGAATGACCCCCACCCCGGGAATGATCCCCTGCCCCAGGAATTCATCACCAGGGAATGACCCCCACCCCGGGAATGACCCCCATGCCGGGAATGACCCCCACTCCGGGAATTCACCGCCCAGGAATGACCCCCATCCCGGGAATGACCCCCAGCCCGGGAATTCACCACCAGGGAATGATCCCCATCCCGGGAATGACCCCCACCCCAGGAATTCACCACCAGGGAATGACCCTCATCCCGGGAATGATCCACCGCCCAGGAATGACCCCCATCCCGGGAATTCATCACCAGGGAATGACCCCCATCCCGGGAATGACCCCCACCCCGGGAATTATCCCCCGCCCCAGGAATTCACCACCAGGGAATGAGCCCCATCCCGGGAATGACCCCCATCCCGGGAATGATCCACCACCCAGGAATGACCCACCGCCCGGGAATTCACCACCCAGGAATGACCCACCGCCCGGGAATGACGAGCGCACAGGCAGTAACCCACCTCCCTCCCGGTAATAACCCACTACCCGGTGCTGATCCGCCTCCCGGTATCACCCCGTGGCGGATGGGGGTGTCACCCCGCACCCCCTCCCTGCAGAGCTGAGGCTGGGGAGGGGGGGGCGATCCGCCTCCACCAGCGGGACCCCCGCACTGGGCTGTGCCCGGGACACCCTGGGACTCCCGGACCCCAATTCCCCAATTCAATTCCCCAATTCCCCCCGTTCATCCGTGTCCGGTTCGGGATTCCCCCCCCCCCCCCCCCCCCACAATCGGGGGATCCCCGCGCGCGCGCCCCGCCCGGCCCCGCCCACCTGCGCGCGCCGCCCGCGCCCGGAACCCGCGCGGCGCGTGACGGGGGCGGGGCCAGGACGGGAAATGGGCGGGGCAATGGGCGGGGCGATGGGCGGGGCAATGGCGGCGCGCGGCCGGCAGGGGGCGGCAAAGACCGGGCGGGGGGGGCGGGAGAAACGCCGGGAAAATGGAAAAAAGAGGGGGAAAAACCGGGAAAAACGGGGAAAAACATCGGGAGGAAGGAGGGAAAGGCACAGGGAAAGGCACAGGGAAAGGCACAGGGAAAGGCACAGGGAAAGGTACAAGGAAACCCAAGAGGGGTGGGCGGATAGATGGAGGGAAGCAAAAAAATAATAAAAAAAATAAGGCAAAAGCAGGTAATGAGGTAGGAGATGTCCCATCCTGGGGGAATTGGACATCTCACCAAGGTGAGTGTCCAGTTAGGAGTGTGGGTGAGAGAAGAGAGAGGGGTGGATGGATGGATGGATGGATGGATGATGGATGGATGGATGGATGGATGGATGGATGGATGGATGATGGATGGATGGATGGATGGATGGATGGATGATGGATGGATGGATGATGGATGGATGGATGGATGATGGATGGATGGATGGATGGATGGATGGATGATGGATGGATGGATGGATGGATGGATGGATGGATGGATGGATGGACGGATATGTGGGTGCGGTGGGACACAACCACCCCACAGGGCTGGGGATGGCTGCGTTCCTGGGCTGCCAGGAGCAGGGGCAGGGTCCCCCACACTGGGGGCTGCTGTGGGTCCCTGGCCGGGGGCTCCTGCTGTGGCCACTCTCCCCCAGGCTGGGCCCGTGGGGACTTTGGCAGGGCTGTGACGGTGCCAGCAGTGTCACCCACGGTGCTGGCAGTGCCCCAGCCCTGCTCCCGGCGCGGGGCTAATCCGCTTTGCCCGCGGGGACCAGATGGTCCCGCTAAGTGGGTCAGGCAGGAGCGGGGGACACCGGGAGCACCGGGCCCGCTGCGCTTCCCGACAGCTGCAAAAGCAATCAGAGAGTGGGATGAGGTGGAAGAGGAGCCTGGACATGGCGGGGCTGGGGGGACAACTGCCCAAACCCTGCAGCACTGCCCAAACCTGCCTGCACCACTGCCCTGCCTGCCCCTCTGCCCATACCAGTCCCTGCACTGCTGCCCTCACCTCCTGCCCAGCCCCTGCAGGGTTATTTTCCCCTCTCCACACCAGAAAAGGGCACCAGCTGTGCCGAGAGGGCCCAACAGCTGCTGTTCCCAGTGTCCCGTTGTCCCCAGGGGTTCCGCTGGCCCCACCAGCCCACGCTGACCCCACTCACCCCAGCAGTGGCACTGTGGGGTCTGTGTTGATGCCCCCTGCCCCAGAGACCCTTCCCAAACCAGCCCCAGCCCCTGTTCAGCAATGGGAGAAGCCCAGAGTGGAACAGGACCCCCAGTTCCCCCCCAGCCCAGCGCTGACACCTCAGGAGCGGCTGCCCATCCCCTCCCAGCCCAACCCCGCTGTGCCAGGGCTAAAAATAAATCCAGCCATTTCTAGGAAAGCTCCTTGGAGAGCACGAGAGAGTGGGAGCACATGGGCAGGAGGAGCACGCGTGGTCTAGGGGCAGCAGCATCCTCGGGAGGAGACTGGGCCCCTCCACACGGCCAGAGCCAGCCCAGGACACTGCAGCACCCCCAGATCACACGTGGACATTTCTGTTTTACCAATCCACTGCTTCAGAGCACCCAGATGAGGGAAAAGGGGAGCCAAAGCTGGGGCAGCACAGGACCTGCTCACCCCAGGAGAAATCTCCCCCTTGCTAAGCTTGGGGTGGGGAAGGATGTCAGGGGGGCTGAGGGCAGCATCCCCACCCATCCTGGGGACAAAGCACCTTCATCACCGGAGTGTAGGGGGTGTTAATCAGGGGGAGAAAGCTGGAATAGCAGCACAGGGTATTTATTTCTGCCCCAAAGCCCTCTGTGAGACATCAGCCCCCTCCCCTGCGCTCCTCGGCCCCCAGCACATAACTGGGGACAGCTTTGCTGAGCTGCTAAGCTCCCCTTTAAGCAGCTGAGCGCCGAGTGGCCGGATTTGCAGGCAGAGCATCCCTCGGGCTGCTCATCCGCCCAGAAAGGCCGGGCTGGGGCCGGCGCCCTCCTCCTTCCTCCCTCCTGGTTGTCAGCACGGATTAATTAATTAATTCTGTGCGTTCTGCAGGAGGAGCCCGGCCACATCCACATCCACATCCACAACATCCATATCCTCATCCACAACATCCACATCCACATCCACAACATCCACATCCACATCCACATCCACATCCCATCCACATCCACATCCACATCCACATCCACATCCACATCCACATCCACACCCACACCCACATCCACACCCACACCCACATCCACATCCACATCCACATCCACATCCACATCCACATCCACATCCACATCCCAAAGGGAACTAAAGGCCAGCTCAGGGATGGGTCCCCACACCAGCACCCGTTTGTTTTGCCTTTCCCAAAGGCACTGGGCACGGCCAGGGGTGCTGGTGCTGGTTCTGGTGCTGTTGGTGCAGGCTCCACCCGGCCTCTCCCACGGCTGTTTCCTTGGGAAGGGTTTTGGGAAAGATTTGGGAGCACATTCAGAGGCTCCTCGAGGCTCTCCCCTTAAAATATCTGTTTTTATTGCAGGGTGTGCGCCCCATCAGCGAGCCCATCTCACCACCGGGCTGTTGGTGACATCCCTGCAGTTGGTGACATCTGCCAGGCCACTGCAGGGAGAGATTTCTCCTTGGAAAACTCTCCTAGGACGGCGAGACCAGGCAGGAGGCAGAGCTGTGTGAAATCCTGGTGTGTTTATTGGTTGGCACCAGATTACAGCCCACGCTCTCGGCAAACTGGCACCCACCGATTTTATTTTTTCAATTTTTCGCTCTTTTAGAGACAGCGACACCTCCCTCTCACACTGAAAAGAGGAAACTCCTCGTGACAGGAGCACCCAGCTTTACCCCACGAGAGGTCATTCCTCCCTCAGCTGGGTCTGGGGTCCCGTTCTCCTGATTTGGGGGGACTGCCAGGAGCCCCCCATGTACACAGAGCTCATGGAAGGACTGAGCAGCAAATGCAAAGGGATCATTCGAGATTTTCTGATTTAATAAATATAAAATAGGACACACAGGAAATTCAACAAACACTCTCAGACCTCCCCAGGTTTCTGAGGCAATTCTAGAGCAAATTCATCAAGTATAACATCAAAATTCCCACCTTCTCACTAAAAAAACAAAAAAAAAAAAAAAACAAAACAAAAAATAAAAACAAAACATCTAAAAACCCAACCTCTATGGACTAGCACCAAAGAGAGATTTATAAATCTCCTAAATACAACTTCAGTCCAGTTCAGTTTCTTTTTCACCAGCTACACCTTAGTTCTGTACAGACCCCTGACACTACCCCAGCACAGCACTCCAGGATCTCCGCAGCCCAGAGCAGCTGGATTCGTTCATCCCAAGGGCAGGAAAATGAGGATCACGCCCTGTGTGTGTCAGGGGCTCAGGGAGCAGCTGAGGGACACCCCAGCCACGAGGTCACCACGTCCCCGAAGGGCTGCAGCCACCAGATGATGCCATTACTGAGGAGAAGAGAGGCAGGAGGGAAAACCCAGCCTGGCACTGGGTCAGCCAGAGGGAAAAAAAGCTCCTCACAGTGCAACAGTCACTGCTTGGGGCAGGTTTGGCTGAGGATGCAGCTCCATCCCCACCCCAAACCAACCCCTCACACCAAGCCCCAGTGCTCCCCGTATGCTCTGCACAGGGATGGATGCTGCATCTGGCTGTGAGAAAACACAAACATGTTAATTTGGGATAAAACAGAGAGAATGGGCAGGCAAACCCACAGCTCTGGAACAAGGGTGGACCTGTGCAGCCTGCAGGGTTTAGATCCCTGCTCGCTGTGGAATGCTGAACAGCTTCTGCATGGAAAAGCTGAGCCCAAAGCCCCTGCTGGATCCGGGAAGGGAACTGAGGATTCCTGACATTCCCTACCCACAGTTTTAGCCACCGAATACTCTGTGGCCACACAAGGGAAAAGCAACACTTGCAGATTCCAACCCCTTTTCATTTTTCCCTTTACAGAGTTTGCTTTAAGGCACATTCCAGCTCAGGCTGAACGAGCTGCCTCAGTGCTCCACAGGAGAGCAGGAAGAGCTCACAGCATCCACCTACACTGGGACAGAACTGGTGGGAATCCTGATACTGCTGCTCCTTCCAGCCCCAAACGCAGCTCCCAGCTTCCCCCCAGCACCCATGGGTGACAGGTTTGGGTGCTGCCTCCCCAGCACCCATGGGTGAGGGACTGTGCAGCCCTCAGGCTTTGCCCCCTTCCACGCTGCTCACACCCCAAACCAGCATTCAAAACCTGCCAGGACGGGAATGTCTGGGGACATTCTGCTGTACCCAGCTCCCACAGTGCCCTGAGAGCACAGCCACACTGAGCCAGCTGAGAACTGCTCCCAGGGGATGCTGAGACACACACTGACACCCCACACAAGGGGCAGCTGAGGTCAGAATCCACCATCCAACACTCCCAGCACCGGTTTTAGCACAGCTGGAGCCCCAGGCTCATCCCCTGGGACTCAGCACAGCTCTGTGGAACCAGAGCCACCCTCACCCTCACACAGACAGGGCAGTGCTCAGTCCCACACCAATTAACACCAGTTTAATCAAAGCCACTCCAGCTGCTGGGGGTGCAGCTGTAGGAGCTCCAGAGAGAACCTCAGATGCTGAGGGAGATGGGAATTGTGTGGTGCAGGGAGAGGTTCAGGGAGCACAGAGCTCAGGCCTGCTCTGAAATCTGCATCTCTTCCATCAAACCTGTTCCTGCCCCAGGAGCCACTTCCACTTACAAGGCATAACAGCATCAATCCATGCCACATTAAAACACTTTCTTGGCACAATTTATTTTTTCTGACCCAAACAAATAAGCCATTAGCAAGTCATTAACAATATTCTACCCTAAATTGTCAGTTTAACAGCCCTGTAAAAACATTTTTAGTTTAAAAACAAAAGTGTGCATGCTGCTGATATTAAAACTGCAGTTACTCTTTCAGGAGTACCAGCTGTTTTGTTGCAAAGCATTTCCAACATACTAATCTGTACAGTAGAGACCAAGACTCGTTGAAGGCAGTAGGTGGCTGTGTCAGGTGCCTCGCAGGGCACGGGGACAGCCACTCTGGGAATTTCTTGGACACTTCCAGATAGATTATTCAAGCCCTTTTGAGAGTTTGGTTCAGGCTGACCAGCACATAGTGAGAAAGGATTGTACATTCGTCTCTAAGTTGAAGTGAGCTGAACTGGTGTAATTTAGGCTCAATTCCAGACGCTTGGGTTTGAGCTACTCCTTGAATAATGGGCTGTTCCTTACGCGTGGTTTTCCATGTCAGTGATCACTGGCACTGCTTTTGGCCTGGCTACTCCACACCGATGAAAGCAGGGAGAACAAGGAAAGGAACAGAAGAGGATCTTAAAATGAACAGCTTCTTGCCAAACCAGCAAGGATACCATTCCCCCTTGTCCCAGGCTCCATGGATATTTCTATCGGATTTTTATATTGTAAGCGCTTCTCAGGAAGAGAGAAAACTCCAGAACAGTGAGTGTTTATTAGAATATTTTTTGTTAAATAAAGAGCAGGAAAAAAAAAAACTGAAAAAAAAAGTACTGCAGATTTAATTTCACATCTTGGCTCTGCTCTGACAAAGGAGAAGTTACTGAACTCAGCAACTACTTCTTGTCCCAAGCCAGGGATTAATTAATGCCCCTCCCAAAACTTGTACCTGTCCCAACCCCCCCCCCCAAAACCCCAACCCTTCCCATTTTATTTCCCAACTAGACAACACTGTTGGCAAATCAAGACAGCATGAAACTTACAGCAATAAAACAACAAACCCCCGAGTGAAGCGTGCCAAGGCCTCGGGGAGCTCTCCTGCGCTGCTCCCCCTGAATGCTGCCTGCAGGAGGCAGCTGTACCTTTCACGGCTTCCAGCACGCTCCAGGTGCGACCCTAAGTGCTGCAGAACCACAGGACAAGAGACTGAACACCTGAATTTTTCAATTTTTGAATGTCTCCCCGCTCGGGATTTCTCTCGGGGGACGCGCGCGCGGCTGTCGGAGCGCGGTGAGGACGGTCCGGCACAAACCCCAAGTGTCCAGCTCGGCAGGGCGTAAGGCATGTGGACAAGAGGGACATGACGCAGCGGGAGGAGGGTGCAGAGTGTCTGAGCCTCGCTGCGGTTTGTCCGTCCGACCCTCCCCTGCATCCCGGCTCCACTGCATCCCGGCTCCACTGCATCCCTGCTCCACTGCATCCCGGCTCCACTGCATCCCCGGCGCTGCTGAGGCCGTTTGGTTTTGGTTTTGGCTCCAGACCAGCTCCAGGAGGTTTCCCTGGGATGGAAACGCAGAAACGCCAGCAGGAGCTGTCGGAGAAGCCGCAGGGATGTCTGCAGGTGATCCGAACTCTGCCCTCAACTTCGAGTGTCACTGCACTAAATCAGGAGATTCTGGTTGGGGAGTAAACTGGCCCAGCCACCAGCACTGTCACAGAATGTGTGTTTTTAAAAAACAGAGCAAAAGGCAAACAGATTAATCGTGAACACTTCTTTTCAGAAGCAGACCAGGATTAAAAAGAAAAAAAAACTCCCACAAAATTAAAATGTTAGATCCTCCATCTAAAAAAAAAAAAAGTTTATACAGATGCGCTGCGAGTAATCCCCACACGGGTCTGAGCAGCACCTTACAGTACAGACTAAGACTTGAAGAGCTGATCTCACATTGGAAGTCTTTTAATTAAAAAAAAAAAAAAACCAACAAAAAAAAAGTGGCTCTGGCTGGGGTGACACAAGGGGACACTTGGAACACTTCAGAGCACAAGGCAGATGAGGGGCTGGCAGCCTCCAGGCCGTGGAGCGGAGTACCAGGAAAGGGGCACTTCATGCACAAAATGTATTTTACAAAATACAGATCAAAAAAAAAAAAAAAAAAGGAAAAAAAAAAAGCCAACAACAACAAAAAAAAATTCATCCCACCTTGCACTAAATCGCAGCACTCTGAACACTTGAACACTTGCTCTGCCCCAGGTGGCTGCCCATGCCTGGTGTGAGGGAGGAGGCATGGAAACGGGGAGGGGAGGGAAATCCAGGTCTCAGTCTGCTTTTGGGAATTGCTCTCGCAGGGACGTCGTCAGTCATCTGATGTCGGACACGGAGCTCTCGGAGTACGGCGTGGTCATCACCGGGGTGCCGTTGTTGGCCAGGCAGCCTTGCCTCAAGGTCTCAAAATACGAGGCCTGCACTGGTTTATGATACTGCAGAACTTTTATGGCATCCTCTATCTTAAACCATTCCCTTTTCCTTCCTGGGGGCAAAGAGAGAAATCAGTAGATGCAACAGAACGGTGTTCTCTGATCTCGAGGGCCTCCCCCTCCAACCCACACTGACAGCTCCCCATCCCCAGGGACAGTTGTTTGTTTAGGGCACTACATCTCCTGTCTTGCATTTCTTAATTAAAAAAACATTATTTTGCTATTTCTGCAGTTTCTATTTAAGCCAGATGCTCCTTTTATGACAACTCACAACACACACACACCAAGCACCACCCGATTTCCACCAGTTTGTAAGTGGACTTCAGTTTCCTGTGGACAGCTCTCAGTTCTTACTCTTTCCATAGAGAGCCTGAGGGGAGTCATGTTCCATTTGCTGCAGTGCACTCACAAACCCTGTGGCAACAACAGGTTCATTTCCACTTGGGAATCCAATTTAAACACCAAGATTTCAAAGGTAACAGGGAATGATTAACCCACACTGCTCACGTGTATTTCCTCTAGTCTCAGACAGGACAGTTCATCTTTGCTTGGAACCATCCAGTGCAAGAACTAAACACAAAATTGCTGCACAGGCAGCTGGACACTCACTTGGCTTTTCCTGGGCCACAGAGGTGACAAATCATCAATTTCACCATAATTTTTTTTCCCAAGCAACCAAAGGACACGCCACTGCAACTTTTCCCAACGAGGCTCACACAGACTGCAGGTCCCAGAGGGATGCTGAGCTGACCTGTGGCTTGTTTCCATCAGTTAAGGCAGCATGCACCAAGCTTACCAATATTGACAGAGTCCTCCCAGTCCTCCAACACTTCGGTGACGATGAGTACGTAAACATAAGTCCTGTGCTTCCTGTCCCGGTTCTGGAAGGCAAAGGGGACAGAGTAACAACCAACCAACAGCAACAACAAACCTTTTTAGGCAGGAGGGCACTGGGCTACTGCAAGATGCAAACTGCCCACCTTGGAGCAGCTCCTCCCACAGCACAGTTAATTCATAACTACTAAAAACTGTTGTGTTTTAAATCAGAGAGGTCTGGAAGTGTTGATAGGGATACCCAAAAGTGTAGCTCCTGATCTGTGGAGCAGTGCTTTGTGGACTGATGTGCTTACAGATTAGTTCTTCAGCTGGGAAGGTTTTGACCTATTTCCCATGAGTTTGAGGGAGTCAGTGCCAGAACAACAGCAAGAAGAGCCGTGTCTGGTACCTGCTGACTGTGCCAGGTGTGGCTGTGAGTGCTACAAATGAAGGGGGGACCCCACTCCCCTGCTTTTGGCAGCACCAAGAATATTCAGCCACGCCAGTTACCACCAGTGATTTCACTGAAGTGCCCACTGCACAGATCAGAATTGCTGAGCAGGTGTGGTTTTATTTAAGAGTGATTTTGATGTTTGCACCAAACCAGCACCAGCTCACTCCACAACCCGGCAGAGCCATTGTTACTCCAAGATGATTTTTCGTAACAAAATTTCACAGCACCCACATCTGAAACTTACCTCAAAAATTCCCACTAATCTTCCTAACGTCCCTTTCACTCCAGCCTAGGGAAGTTCAAAGAGAAAAGAAACATGCTTTAACAACAGCTCAGTACGTGTTTCCTACTTGTTGTGCAGGACCAGTTCCTTTAGGACAGGAAGCAAACGTTCCAAAATTCTTCTTGTCTTAAACCAGCACAGTCACAAGGCAAAAACCAGAAATATATCCCAAGTGCTCAACATCCAAGCATTCCCAGGGCTTTTTTCTTGTTTTCTTACATTCAAACAATTTTGAATTCAATCTGGAGGAAGAAGAAATATTTGAGGAGTTACTCCTTGCATACCAATACAGTCCTCGTGACCAGAATCTCCTCTGCAGGTTATTACAGCCTGAGCAAGAGGAACGTTGGCTTTGGGGTTTGGCAGTTTTACCCCTTCAAAATCAGAGTTTAAGGAAATAAAGTACGTGTAAGACATTTCACTTACACCCCAAGAGTGATGTGACAGCTCCCAGGTATTTCAGGGGGATCCTGCACACACCTGAAACAAGCCAATATAAATACAAAATGCTATGACATGGCCCTGGCAGCAGGAGCTAGAGAGGTTTGGATATAACACAAAGGGCAGATGCACACTGAAATAAAGCTCTTGAATCAAGGAGAGGTACAAATCAAGAGATCTAAGCAACAGTTTTGCCTGTTTGAATACTACTACTCCATCACTTTGGTGTCCCTTTTGGCACCTCTCTGCTGGCTCCCTCCCTGCCCTCCTCAGCTCTCAATCCCAGCCCACTCTCCTGCCCTTGTTTTATATTCCCTCTGTTTTATGACTGTAAGTGGTTGGAACTCAAGTGCTACAGACAAGATGAGATCTTGCTCCATGATTTAACAGGTCTGAACCAACCCACACAGCCTGGCACACGACCCAGCCACAACAGGGAGGTAGAGTCAGCTCCGTCTCCAGCAGCTGGAACACATCCCATGAGCAGCCCAGGGAAATTGTGCCTCTTGCAGATGAGATACAGAGATCTGATTATGCCAGGCTTCTCTTTTTTTTTTTTTAAAGCATGTTTAAGTCACATTAATGATAAGACAAATTCTCTGTCCTACTGACCAGCTGCCACACAGTCTCGTGCTGTCAGAAAGGAAGAACTTTCTTTAATGAGACCATTTTCCTGGTTAAGTTCCAGCCTACTGCATGAACAGGTACCAGAGAATCCAGCCAACCTCACTCCAACAGCTGCTGATGTGGAACTGCCCCAGGAGCAAAGAGTTTGGAGCTCCCTCACTACCAGCAGTCAGAGAAATCTATAAATCTGTTGGAATCTGAGGTATTGATGATTTTGAGATTGTAAAAAGTCTCTGTGTTTCTGCCCCGCTGCCAAAGCAGAAGCCATAATTCGTCTGTGCTGTTTCAAGGTTGTTTATTCTGTTTATCTCTAACATGTTCTGCTGCCCTGCCGCAGCTCTGTCCTGCAGGGCAGCGTGTGGGGCTCTGCCCTCAGTGGGATGGTACAAACATTAAATACCACAAACTACCTGTGCTGGATTTACAATAACGTGCCAATATCTGTCACCTACGTTGGACAGTGTGTCCCAGCCTAAACCAACAGAAAAATGCCAACACCACAGTGAAACATGGAGGGCATGAAGAAGGAGAAAAAGGACAAAACACACCCAATTTCCTCCATCTTGTCCCCTTTGGACCCCTAATCTAGAATCCTAAAATTTTACTCTTGCACCCGTGTCACACTTAATTATTACTCATATCAAACACTCAGAGCTGGTAATTCATCCTGTAAGATTGAAAACTCTTTTCCATGGGCAGAGATCACAGACAGTGTCTCTGGGGGCTCTGTCCAGGGGGATTCCTGACCCCTGCCAGGGTGCCAGGGAAGCCAGAGGGAAGCTCTGGATTCCCACACCAATCCTTTTGGTAACGCACTCACTGAGCTCCACATCTAGAAGTCAATCAACTGAATCTCCTATTTCATTTTTGGACTCAGCAGCACTTGTGACATGCTGCTGGGCCCAGAGGTGCCCCAGTGCCTGTGACTCTGGGGCTGTTTCTGGGGCGAGCAGCAGCCCCACGAGCAGCAGCAGTGCCCAGCAGGTCGGTGCCCGCTGACCTTTGCGGGCGAGCGATTCCACCCCTGTGCCAACCCCGCTGACCTGGCCTCAGCCCTCTCCCAAGGCATCTGGAATGGAAATGCTTCAAATGCATTTCCCTCAAGGAACTCCTTCAGCACTGGGATTTATTTTTAGCTAAGCCATGTTCAACAGGCAGCAGAAACACAGGGAGGAACTGGAGGCTTCCACCTTCACAGCATAAGGACATGAATGCATTAAAAGGTGAAGCACAAACAAATATTTCTGGAAAATAACTGTCTCAAGACGATGCTTCACTGGATCCTGGAAAAGGTCGTTGAATTTCTGCTCTCCCTACCTGCAGGCACTGAATCAGAAGCCAGTGATTTTGTTGTGATGGTTTAGTGAACTCTCAAGTCTGACTAGAAATAAATTTATCTCCAGGCAACTGGCCAGCCTGGAGACGAAGGATGAATTCTGCTCAAGCAGCCTCCCAGGCAGTTTACCCCAGCTCTAGAACTGTGCTGGAAGTAGCAGAGGGAGGTGAGGAGCCCTTCCTTCTGTGCTGGTAAAGAGATGATGGAAATAATGCTGTCTGCAAATCAGGATCCTCCTGCTCTGTCCTGCCTGGTCTTATTTGCCCAAAAAGGCACAAAAAACGATGCTAAGACAAACATGTCTTGTAGAAAAATCATGTTGAATTATCATCACACAACTGGAGAAAGCTCTAAGCTTTGCTTCACACATAAACTTTTCATGTGCAGTTGTAAATGGTGACATAAAAGAATGGTTTGGTTAAAAAAAAAAACACATTAGGCTGATTTTATAAAGCAAGTTCTTACCAAAGCCTGCAAAAAACATCAGCCACTGCTCCTGGGGGCCAGTGCCTCTCCCAACCTTTTTCCAGGTACAGTGATTTTAAAGACAACATACAGGACACCCAATCCAACACCAATAGGATTGTCATACACCTGTTTTTGAAGGAGTACTAAATTCCCACAGCAGCAGGAGAGGTTGCCCAAGATACCTGAGAAAATAACTGAGAGCTGTTATCACTAACAAGCCAAGCTTGGTAACCAGCAAGAGAACTGCCAGGCTCCTCTCTGGGCAAGCTCCCCATCCCCTCTTTTCATATGGGCAAGAACATTTTCTTGAAGAGTTCAAGCACAGTCCCAGGCTCACCCAGGCCTGCAGCAGGGTCTAAATCTTAATTTGCAGCAGATGACTCAGGAATTTTCTCCTAGATAGTAAATTAATGGCCCTCCTGGGCCAGACCAGTGAGTGAGGCAGAGCAGCACAGTTGATTTTGTGCCCCTGTAAGTGCTGGAAGTGCTGCAATCCTCCAAGTACAGGAAGAATCCCAGGGGGATGCTCCTGAACCCATCAGCAGGGGTAGGACAGAACCAGCACCAACTGCTCCAGCTGCAGGTGTGGAAACAAAGCAAGGCAATCACACAACAGCATTCCCTGGGAGAGGCACGCTCAGGTACAAGAGGACACACAGAGCTGGCAAAATGAGCTTTTCCCCTGCTCTGCTGATCTCAATCAGTGTTCAGGGTTCAGGGGAGGAGGAAAAGGCAGCTTTGGCAAGAGCACATCAGCCACAGACACTGCCAGAGGCAGCTGCCTGCCCAGCACACACTTCAAACCCCCAGTGCATCCAGAGGGGTGGGCTGGGAGCTCAGGACAAGGAACAAAAACCTGGAGGAAATGAAGCTTTACTAGTTCTGCTGCTCATGGAACAACTTGTTTTAATAAAGAAAAATTACTGAAGCCATCCAAGAACAGCAGGTTCAGGTTTCAAAGCTGAAAATAAGTTGGGGTCAGATGCAAAAAGCAGCCTGCAGCAACACCATCTGTTCCTCGGGACAGCTTTTATTTCCTTCCATCTGAGCTAAGGAAAATGTGGGTTGGAATTTCAGCTATTTTACTTTGCTCTATTAGGCTCAAAGCCTGCATCTACTACAGATTACTGCTGGGCAAGAGAACTGTGGTGGAACACCCAAATATTTGCTCTAAGACCTACACTACTGAAGGTGCAAATCCCTCCCAGGAGGGCTGTGGACACGTTTGGAGGATGCTGATTCCAGGCCAGCTGGGCAAACTCTGATGTCTCACAGAGGGTCAGACTCATTCATCTAATTCAGTTCTGCATGACACCTTTATTTGCTTCTACACTTGTGAAATAGAAATGACATTCAGTATCAGGATGAAGAACTTTCAGACACTGCAATTGTTTTTGTGAAGTCTGAGTACACAGGGTAAGGGACAGTGACTTTGAGCCACCACTTGCACTGGGTATGATCAACTAGGAGGGGTTCAAAGGCCATTATGTCATCATTCATCTGTGGCTCCTGCAGTACTTTAAAAAAATCTTCCTATTTTAGCACTGAGAGATATCAATATCTGTGTTCTAAATCACTAACAAAATACATGAAATAGGAAAGATTATCTATAAAGCATGTTTAGAAGAGGGGAAAAAAAAAGTTCCAGCAACCAGATCAAAGTGCTGCCGTGATGGACTATTCCTGAAATTGGCACCAATTGCCTGTTTGATCACAGATCAAGCACAGATTATCTGGCTTTTGACTCCCATGAAGAAAGAACAACCAACACTCCTGCAGCGTTATAAAATTTGACATTTACTAAGTATTTAAAGGTCAGGATGTGAAGAATGCTCTAACTGAAAAAGGAACTGGTGCTGAGTGTGACAGATGAGTGTGGAGGCTTTTTTCAAAGTCACTCTATAATAAGTTTAAGGCATCTATTTCTAAACCATGATGTTCACCAGTTGCTCACACCCATAAAAACCCCTTATTCCTAAAAGAACACACTCCATGAGCACCACGACCTGTTTGAAAAGGGCACACACCTTCCATGAGGTGAACTTTAGAACACACGTGGAGTCCCAGCTCTGTAAGACTGACTACAGCACTTCTCAGCAACCTGTCAAAAATAAGAGTTTCTTCTGAAGAGGCTGCTCTGACCCAGAGTTGCTGTGTGTCTGCTGCCACTCTGCACAAACAATGCCCAACAACTCCAGTCACTTCCAATTTCGTGCAGACAACAGGGAGCATGACAAGTGTTGGTACCTGTCCACTTTAATACTTGTGCTGGTACAGACTAATATAGATAAGGACTATTTCAAACTAGGACAAGGATTTGAACTCAAACTGGGACAGAGGGATCGCAGCCTTCACTCAGAATCAACATTTCATTTTTGGAACAGAAAGAGGGAAAAGTTAGGTAACTTTAGATGGCAATTATTTCTGCAATGACATGGATAAACCCAAACACATACACAGTAAAATTAAAACAGTGAATGCAGAAGTTAAAATGTTCATTTATGGAAGTATGTTTTGGAAAAAAAATGCACACCATGCAAAAGAGAATGAATTGGGAAGAGACAGTCTATTGTCATTCTCAAAAGCCACAAGAAACAGGAAATGTCACAAGTTCTTACAGCTCTTCCAACCAGCTCTTATTAAAAATTGGAAAGGCATGCCAAAGTCAAGGAAAGAAACCCCACACATTTCTCCCACTGCTTTGAGCAGCACTGCTCATTGCCATGGGGGAAACTGGATTTTCCCTCTCCCACCTCGAGCAACAAACTGGAACTGCTCAGCTAACCTGTGTCCCCATAAATGGCTGTCCCAGGAGAGAAACAAAGACCTCAAACTCAGAAATCAGCCTCAGCTCCAAAAAACACCTGGATTCACATGGAAGGAAGGGAGAGCAAGGGCTCCCAGCTGGGAAGGTGGGTGCTCCTGTCATTCCCAACACTCCTGCTGTGCTCCAACACCATCCCCCTACACCCCAAACAGCTCGAGGCTGGGGATGTGGGGATAATTCTGTGTGCAGACCCTCTGTGCAGCACATGAGCACAGCCCAAACGGGGAAGGCCTCACACCCCTAAAGCTCTGCCAGCACCACTGGGTGCTCATGTCAGACAGCTCCGTGACAGCTCCTCAACCCACACCACCACCCGAGGCTGGGGGTGCCCAGGTGAGCCAGGGGTGAGCCAGGGGTGCCCAGGTGAGCCAGGGGGGTCCAGGTGAGCCAGGGGGTGCCCAGGTGAGCCAGGGGGGTCCAGGTGAGCCAGGGGGTGCCCAGGTGAGCCAGGGGTGAGCCAGAGGTGCCCAGGTGAGCCAGGGGGGTCCAGGTGAGACAGGGGGTCCCAGGTGAGCCAGGGGGGTCCAGGTGAGCCAGGGGTGAGCCAGAGGTGCCCAGGTGAGCCAGGGGTGAGCCAGGTGAGCCAGGGGGGGTCAAGGTGAGCCAGGGGTGAGCCAGAGATGCCCAGGTGAGACAGGGGTGCCCAGGTGAGCCAGGGGGATCAAGGTGAGCCAGGGGGTGTCCAGGTGAGCCAGGGGTGAGCTGGGGGGCCCAGGTGAGCCAAGGATGCCCAGGTGAGACAGGGGTGAGCCAGGGGTGCCCAGGTGAGACAGGGGTGCCCAGGTGAGACAGGGGTGAGCCACAGGTACCCAGGTGAGCCAGAGGTGCCCAGGTGATCCCCAGCTGCTCCCTTGGCTCCAAGCTGCTGCTGCTCCGTGTCGGGAGCAGCCGGGCAGAGGTGCCTGGCTGGGCAGAGCTCAGCCCTGCCAGGCTGCCAGGGCTTGAGTTACACTGGCAGCGGGCAGGGCTCCACGTGAGCAGGGAACACCAGCCGGGGAGCGGGATTATCTCAGCCAGCCCAAACCAGTTCCTGCGAGGCCGGAGCCCAGCCAGGGCTCCCGTCCAGCAGCGCTGGCATGGAAGGAGCGCGGCGGCTCTCCCAGGGCGCCGCTGCCCGCGCAGGGAGTGCCCCTGCACATTTATTTTAGGGGTTGAGAGGCAAAGCTCTGCACCTCCTCAATGAACCCTGGACTTCTGTATCAAATTGCCTCATTATTAATAATGCTTGGGTTGAAAAGCAGGAGTCTGCAGCTAAAAATATTTCTATTGTTCTGGTTACACTCGCTTTGGCTTGTAAAGCAGTTGAAAGGCTGCCGAGTTACTGGAAAAGCAGGAGCTGGGTTACAAGCTGGAAATAAAATTTACAAGCAGCAATTCCCAGTATTAGAGGGACCGAAAGACACTTAAAAAAAAATAAACTTTGACTGTATAATCTCTTTCTGATAAACTGCTAGATTATAAAAATCTCCAAAGAGAAATATGCAACACGAGATCTGCCACATTTGGTTAGTCCAACAGTCTGAATATTCAGAGTTTTGTTAGACGGCAGCACGTACTTCCAAATAACTCAGGAAAAAACCTGCACAGACCAGACAATTCAAAAAAGCAGCTACAGGAGAAGCTTCCTCCCAGGTCCCATCAATTAGCTCTTGCTTTCTGTTCTGCACAGAGCCCAAAGATTTATAACCCTCTCAAAAGCATTTTTAATCCTGCCTTATGTAACTGTGAACCTACTTGGCCATTCTATCTATAATCATGCAGTCATTTCTGAACCTAAGCATCTCCCCAGTTGGTTAATATTCAGAAGAAAATTCTAAAGACATGTTTTACATACACTGCAGTCAACTGCCATTTACTGCCTTTACACTTCTTATGAAGAAAAAAATTGTTCTTCCAGCAGCTTTAAGAGAAAAATGTGCCTTCTCCCTACAGCCCATTGATCTGTGTTTGATCTGCTGTTTGATCTCCTTCCTGAAAGAGCTTCAAGCGAAAAAGAGAAAAGAAACCAACCAACCCGTGCACACTTTAGGAATTGCTGCTGGTAACTTATGGCCAATTTCATTTATTCACATAAACCTCACTATGTAGTCTATACCAAAAACATACTTAGGTCCTTCCTTATATTTGGATTGCTTTTAGTGGCTCCTCAGGGTTTATTTCTACCTTCCACCCAAGTACTAGACAGGCCCACAAAGGCACAGCTGAATTTTGAAGCTCTCTTACAGAGAAAATGAAGCAGAGACTATATATACACTGAAGTGACTAGAGCTGAACTTTATTTTCAGTTAAAGGTATCAGGCAAGGATAAGTTCATTCCAGCTGAGAGGTTTAATTACATTCCCATGCTCTCTTATTTAGGACTCCGTTTTCCTCCCACGTGGGATGGGGATATCACCAGTGACCCTGTCTCCCTCTCCAGCTCAAGGAGAAGAAGGAAGAGTGATGAAAACAAACCCACAGAAACCAGGCTAACAGGGTGAAGCCACTCACCTCTTCACAGACCTCGCGCACGGCGGCCACGCCGGGCTCCTCCTCGGGCTCCATGCCACCCCCAGGGACGATCCATCGGTCCGGATGGCGACTACTGCTCACCAGCAGCACCTGTGGAGAGCAGAGACAGCTGATGGGCACCCCCAGCGCTCCCCTTCAGAGCCCAGCTGAAGGGCAGAGGTTGTCTTTGTGCCCCACACACCCCCAGACACGACCCACCCAAGCATGGCTTTGCCACTGCTGGCTTCTCCCTCAGCCCCACGCACAAATTCCATCAGCAGTGACACCGAGGCACTCCCACACTCCGTGTTACTTCAGCCACTGCCTCTCCCTGCTCTGATGCATTGCAGGAAAAACTGTCCTTGCACATCAAAACACTCATTAGCACAGGGCACGGCATCACCCACAGTGTGAGTTCACTGCAGAGTCCTCACAGCTCAGGCAACAACACAAATGCACAGATGCTGCTCAGCACCTCCACCCTTTGCAGAAGTACCTTGATTTAATTCTCTGGTGCCTTTGGCCTTGCCTGTCCCTGCAGCTCTGTCACTAACAACACACACATGTCCAGGAACTCCCACTGCACTATTTATGTGCAATTATCTAAACAGATTCTCAGCTCCACTGTTTGTCACTTCTTTTGCAGTAAGCACTGAGGATTCAGCTCTGGAGCCAGCACTTGGTTACTTTTGGTTTAGAGGAGGTTGTTTAATGAGGTGAAAGCAAAATGAAAGGCTATATTAAACCTTTTAAACTTAAACCCCCCCCTAGGAAAGGACTGCATGGAAGGACAGACTTTTGTGAATGAGAAAAATGGTTCAACCCTCTTCCAGGAGGGATTTGCCATACACATGCTTTGTGGCAGGTTTTCTTGAAACAGTATTTTTTATTCCAGAGTAATTCTGCTCTGTAGAAGTTCAGGTTCTGATTTGCCACCTCCCAGCAAGACAAACTCTAACTACCACTCTCAACTGGCTACAGACTGTCCCAAAGAACAGCGAGATGCTGTGCTTATTAAATCTACTTGCAATACATCCATGAGCAGAGATGGAAACTTAAAACAACACTAATACTGTTGTCCAGCTCTTTAAACAAAGCTCGTTCATTAGAGTCATCCTGCTGTACTTCATCATTTCACAGGCACAAAGCTCGGAGCCAAAGCGACTTGCTCCAGAAACTTTCCAACATACCAGTCCAATTAGGTTCCAGGCCAGCTGTAACAGTGTCAGACATTTGGGAGCTGCACTGTGGAGACACTGCAATCCCAGGCTTTACTGGGGAAACACTGATTTGTCAGTAGGATATGAAAAGATTTGCACTAGTTACCCAAAGGAATCTACATACAGAACTCAAAATTAAACTTCCAAAACAAAAACAAGCACAAGATTTCCAGGATTTTTCAGTTGGTTTATCTTGAAAATTCTCTGACCAAACTCATATCAGAAACAAATGAAGCTGCATGAGCCACCTCAGTTCCACAGCTCCAAGTGGGATGGTACCCACCCCGTCCCCTGGCCAGGCTGTGACAGAACAGCGTTTGCTTTACAGTGACATCCCAAGTGTTTGGCCCTCTCCAAGAGGAAGGCAGAATTCCTTTCCTCCAGGCATCCAGTCCATATAAAACACCACCAGAAAGCCATGCCTAAATAGGGCATGTAAACTTCATTCATCCTCAGAGCCCCTGGGACAGCAGCCAGTCCCTGACAGGCTCCCCAGCCACCTCAGTCTGCCACTGTGCTTCTTCCTAGCACAGTACTTGACTTCTACTCCATCCTCACTCATCATCCAGAAGAGCTTGGACTCAAATTCCTGACTCCAGGTCAGTTGGTGATTCTGAGGACAAAGCTAAAAGAGCAGGAACAGTCATTTCAAGTGCACCTTTGCTGCCAGGGAAGGAAGCATCAGCTCTGCAACTTCCCATTGCAATTCAGAGCTCCAGCTTGAGGGGGAAAAATAGCAGAAAAACATAAAAAAACCCCTGCAGAATCAGATCTTTGAAACTCAGCACAGCACATCTCACAGCCCTGAACTCCTGCCACCTTCCAGGCGTGAGAACAAGGATCTGCTACAGAACCCTGGACACAGACTGCTCCAGGAAACCTGCTCGGGCTGGGACAATGCCTCAGCAACACACCAGGAGGAACTTCTGGGTGCAAACAATGGTTTGAGGCAAAGTAAATTAACTTCAGCTGCTCTGGCAGTTGAGCATTTTCTGAATAGAATTAACATGAACAACCCTTGCTGGGAAGGAAAAACCTGTCATTCTCACACTTTTATGTAATCAGACTATTTCCTGTTTAATAAAAAGGAAATCCCATCAAGAGAGTGCAGGAAACAAGCCCTACAAGGTCATTCTTTTAAAACAACTTCAAACAGGATATTGCTACCAATGAGCTCTCCCAAGACAAAGGGGCTGAGTTCCAAACAAGGGGGAGACATTGCTGTGCTGGAAAAAACCCACACTTCCAACACCAGTCCTGGATCCCGATACATGCAACTCATTCAGAGGGATCAAGGAACAAGTTGTCATCATCTAAATCCCAAAAAGGTTTGGGTTGGAAAGGGACCTTGAAGCCCATCTCATTCCACCCCCTACCACCTTCCAGTAGACCAGCCCAGGTACAGCTGGCTTTTTAGCTCACTAACTTCTTTATTAGATAAATAACTTTTATTTTAATACATTCTAAAGTAGTTAATTTAATCTAAACAGCCATCAAAAAATAAACCAAAATTTAGTTGTGTTTTTAAATCAGGCTAGAACACTTAGGAAGGTCAGACATTTCCATTTTATCCTTGCCAGGCAACTGTGTTTAAAATGGCTACTGAGACTCTTGGCCTGCCAGGAATTTTGGAGCTGGATTTTGGAGCCACGGCCTGCAGCCTTTTTGGAAAAGCATTTGCAGGTAACACACATGTCACATGGCCAAGTTGTGTTTTCCAGGATTTCAGAGACAATTATGTCATTTCAAAGCAGGGAAATGAGCAACACATCTCTGGCAAGGCAGGAGGTGGCCCTGCTGAAACTCTCCCACACAATCCCCCACAAAAGAGAAAGTTTAGAAAAATAAGCCAAGTTTGAAGTGTGCAGCAGGGGCTCGAAGCAGAGAAGCTTCAAAGCTGAACACAACAAACAAACCCAAACAAACCTGAGCAGTTCTAGCCCTGCCTGGAGAGACAGGAACCACACCAAGACATCTAAGGCTGCCCAGACAGCCACATGGAATAAGGAGCTCCATGGGAAAAGGGGCAAAGAGTTTGTCCCTGGCATAAATCTGGGCATCCCCCATACACAACACTGACCTTAAAACAACCGAAACAAACCTGCTGTAATCCACATGGAGGGGTTTTTCTGTCTTCTTCTCACAGGAATAATGGGGCTCTGCAAAGCAAGAACTGGGCAACCAGGATCAGGCAGAGAATTAACTCCCATTTGTGGAACAGAGAAGACATTCCCAGGTTCTCCCACACTGTGGTGGATTTAAACAACATCCACCACCCATAAATTAAACAAGAGCAGCTACACCATAAGGAACACGATTCCTCGAAAGAGGCTCCACAGCAGCATTTGAGCAGACAGAAAGGGACCTCAGCCCTGCAAGGAGCTGGGCCACATCATGAGTAGAAAATGAGCTGAGAACCTTCCAGACTTCCAGGAAAAGCCAGTGCTACCCACCTGTGCCAGCAGGGCCTGGCAAGCTGGCAGCCAGCACAGGGAACAGCAGGCAAGATGTAAAATCCAGGTCTGGCCCAGCAGCCTCCTGCTGCCAGGAGCTGATCCATAGCTGCTGGCTCCCAACACAGCCTCTGCACTGCCTCCCCTCAATATTTTCAGGCTTTTCCTCAATATTGACATGCTTTCTATCAACACTGTCATGCTCTGTATCAACATTCAGCCGTAAATCACATTGTTTGCACAGGGAGTGAAGCACAAAGCTCCCGGCATTGCACCTCCTTTCCCACTCCAGCATCATTTATCAGAGCACAGCTTGCAAGGAAACTCTGCTGCCGCAGAGCTGCAGGAGCTGGGAGGAGAAGATGGCTGACTGCAAGGCTTTTGCTGTTCAATCTGCCTTTGTCTCAAAGTTTCAGTTTAAAAAGAGTGTGTTCTCAGCAGCTGAGCTGTGCTCCCGTGTGTCCCATGGCCAGGCAGGTCCCAGAGTTGGTGCTGTGTCCAGCATAACAAACACCTTGGGTGTTTCACTCAATTCTCCCAATCTCCAAATATCAGTCCTGTAATGCTTTTCTACCTGAAAAAAGTGGGATGCTCCTTTGACCACACCAAATCACCTCTAAGCCCTACGACCAGCAAGGGGTGAGAACTGGAGCAGCAGGGGAAGGAGAGGGACACTGCTGTCACCAAAGCTGTGCAAAATTAATCTCATTTCCCCAGCAGCAACACAACCTCGATGATTCCCCAGCAAATCACATGTTTTGCCAAACTGCAAAGGCAGCTTGCCCCAGGGTGCACACCAGGGCTTGCTGGAGGGTTTCTCCCACCCTCTTGCTATTCCAGGCACGTTCTGCAGCTCGCACATGGTAGGAGGGAATCCAGCCGGCGGTCAGCAGGGCTACAGCCGGCCCTGCACCTGCCAGGTCAGCAGCTGGGACCACAACACACACTCTCAGCAGCCACAGAAATCCCTCCCTGCCCATAACAGCCTGTCCTGCCAGGAGCATTCCAGTTCCTCAACAGGATACGTTTCCTTAGACAAGTGTTATTTTTGCACAGGCACCTGCAGCAGGTTCCGTGGGATAATGGGATTTAACTGACAACGTGGGATCCGGGAGCTGGAGGTGGGAAATTCACGGCAGGACGCGCAAAAGGGAAGGGATTCGCACTAGAGAACTTGACAAAAGTAAAGCACAAGTTTTGAAACGGGAGCAAGAGGTGAACTGGAAGAAGTTCAAGTCATTTCAAGTGCTTGGATCGCACCTACAGTCCTATAACCAGAGAGGAAAAAATACAGCAGATTCTGTTGGTTTTTAGGCTGCTGGTTAGAATAACAATAATAAATCAGTGTGCTGCTGCTCTGGCTCCAGAACTCCACAGGTCCTGTTACTGCTACTGCAGCGCTCCTGCGACTCCAGAGCCACTGCCTGTCCTACCAGGG